TTTTTCCTTCTTACACTTCCCACAAAATCTTGTAAATGAAGATGTCTCTCTGGTGATATAAAATTGACAAGTTTCTGTTTTAAAAGAAATTATAAAATGTTCACACACACACACACACACACACACACACACACACAAGCCTATCATTGTATCTGAGATAGTGTGTCCATTTTCAAGTTGAGAGAGATGATCCCTGTTATAATATCAACACAATGGATAATGCTGTGTAATAATTAAGTTTTGCATTTCTTTATATACTCACAAATATGGTATTTAATATATTTGCTTAAATTCCTACAAAAATTCTTTTTCTTTTCATTACAAATTAACTTTATCCCTAAATGGGATGAAACCTGTTTACATAATCCTTTCTGCTTCCTTAATTAAAGTTTTTCATCCAACAGTTTTTTTTTCCAGATATTTCAACAATTTAATCTTTTAGTGTGACTTTGCCATTAACCATTCCTGATTTTGTTTGGTTAAGAATTAAGTGTCTTTCAATTATTTCAACATTGCTGTTTTTATGACACACTTATAAAACTTTTATAATGATTAAGCATGGTGATAAGGAAATTTTTATTTATTCTTGTATAAAAGTTTTTTTTTTTTTTTTTTTTTAGTCAGCTCTAAGTATGAAATAGTATTTTTCCTGGTTCTTATCAAGTGCTGTAATATCCTTTTCATGTTCTAAGAATTTACAATTTAAGGTGTTGAATAAAAATTTGACTTTCCAGAAAAATATTCTCATGATTACTTAAAAATATATTCAGAGACACAAATAACTGAAAGAATTATGTAAGCAAACTGTTTAGTTAATTCATCCAATTCTGGTGATTGACAAATTTGAGTATAAAATAGTCTTTGTTTTTGTCAAAAATACATGACTGGTTGAGTTTGTATCATTGTCTGATAGCAATTATAATGCAGCCTATTTGTACAAATGTTTCATATGAAGAATGAATATCTTAATGTTTCTTAAAACAGATGATTACTTAACTTTCTCAGTCTTCAAACAAATGCATTGATTTTGGAAATGCATGGTCATCAGTTTTAGAAGAAAAAAAAACTAAGTCTACCTACTCAATAGTCAATCAGTGACTGACAGTTTTGAATTCTCTTCTGTTAGTTAGTCAATATCCAAACATCAGCCAAACTTCAATTAAATGAACCACTCGAGCATTTACTTTATGGAGTGGATTTATTCAACAATTATTGGATACATACATCATAATAATGCTGCTTTAATCTGTAAAGGGAGATCTGAAGTATAATCAATGTTGCACTGCTTTACCATAGCAGGACTTTCATGATGAACAAACAAGATGCATAAATATTGATTGATAAAGGAAAATAATGAAATTTAATAAACATTTATAATAAAAATTATTGTAAAGACTTTTGATATGACTTGATTCTTTTAGTTAATAATAAAAAACAACTTGAAAGTAAAAAAAAGTTATAGATATCAAGAAAATTAACATTTAAATTCTCAAATTGCCAAATATTTTAATCAATATTCAAAATTGTAAAATTTTAGCTAACTTAGGGATTTGCATGATGAGACATTTTTGTCCATCTTTGTTACTGTAAAGAAGACAAGGAACCAAGCCAAATTATTTACATCTTGGTGAATCTCTAAGTTTTCAAAGTTTAAAATTCATTAACACTTGATTTGTATAAAACTTTATACTGCTAACCAAACCTGATATATTACTCATAAAAACAAACTATTACAACATTAATACTTACAATAACAATTCAAAGTAATATTGTTCATTAAGTTTTTAAATTTACAGAATTGTTAAAATATTTTTAATTAATGCCATAAAATTTGTATAATGGTGATTTATTTCAGGGCCTGTTTTTTAACTAATTATAAATGCTTTTTTTCAAATGGAAAATATAAAAGGTTTAAATAACAAACTCAAATAGACTGTAAATCAGCTCATTTTCAAATGCAAGAAAATAAATGTTAAAAAATTGAAAATTATTTGTTTCCATTTTATTACAATTCATTGTTAATCATAGAGAATGAATGACTGGGTTAGATCTGATCAAACATAAGTTTTTCATGACATCCCAACTCCTTTTAATATTCAATTAGTATTTTTAAAAAAAAATGTATTTTACATCATAAACTAATTCCTGTGAATTATGGTAAAAAGGAAACTAATGATAATTGTCATTGTTATTATACACTTTGCTATTCTGACCAACATGCTCATGTTGGTGGTTATATTCCCAACATTTCTGCTGTTATATCCTTTGGGCTTCTTCAGGTGTCTGCCTAATCAGTGATGAAACCCTTTATTCAATCTACAGGGGTAAATTCTCATTCTGATTTCTATTTTCAGGGGAGATAACTCTCATCAATTAATACCAGTTTTATTTTTGTGTTGCTTGTCACTGAACCAGAGTATGTGACTTTTCCACACTACAAGACTCAGATTGTCCCGAAAGAAACATGGCCTACTAGTTTAAATTGTTGGTTAAAATATATCTGGTTTTCTGCTAGTTGTGAGTTCAATCCCTGGATCTGGTAGTACTGGTAAGTTACATATCCTGTTTCAGTGGAAGAAACTGACAAGACAAATGAATAAAATTGGTGAATATTAACTGATATAAAAAAAAAAAAAATGAATGAAAGGTAGAATGAGAATAATTTGCCACATTGGATTTAATTAATGGTTCAGTTCAGAATCTCAAGGTTACTGAGTATGATGACACACCTGAAGAAGGCTGGATGGTACAACAGCCAAAACATTGATCAAGATGAGTATGCAGGTTCAAATAGCAAATCATGATGATGATGATAATTATTGATTGCAAAAATTCTAACAGATATTGTTAGTATTACATGATAATAGAAGAAATCAAATCATTTGAAATCTTCTGTTTATTCCTTAATATCAAGAGAAATTGTTACAAGTTTCCATATTTCCCTTATCAGTGTTCTTTTGCAACGTCCAATCCCATCTGAAATAACTTGTTCATTCAGTCATTACTTTTTAACTCCTTACCCCACATTGCCCTTCACTAAACAAAAAAAAATGTAATTCATATTTGTACAGTTTCCTGAAAGAAGAGGAAATAGCTTTCTATAAGCAAGTCCTTGTACAAGAAAAAAGTCAATTGTTTGTTACTCTTAGATGTCTAGATCAGAAACTGTAATACGGTGGTGTTGGTTGAGAAGGCAGCAGTAATGCTGGTTTATTGATTTTTGTACATACTATAACCTTGACAGTGCTACTTGTTAAAATCACTCTGGCCTCAAATTCCAAAATATTGCTCTGTTCACTGTTTTCCTGCCACACATTCTTCCCACACCATATCCTACCATGTTCATTGCTTCAATATCAATTACAATTGCATTTTTATATTTTTATTATTCAATCTAACCATGCAATTTGATTTTAGCAAAGATTTTCTCTTAAAGTCCAATTTTAAAGATAACTTCTTTTGTATATTTATATTTGTTCTTTTTATGGAAAAAGAAAAATTAACCTTTCTAAATTTTTTTATATTAATTTTCTGAATTTAAAACTTTTTCCTCAACCCTTAATCTATTGTTTTTATTTCTTTCACACTATAAAATCTGATAATATTCTAGTGTTAAAAGAAATAATGTCTATATGGCTCTTTTGAAATAAGAAAGATCCATTGTTCATTTTATATTTAGAATTTGAGTGGAATCCTTTTATTCATGAAATATTTTTGCTGTTGCCTAAACTGATTTAATTATTCTCTAGTTGAACTCATCAGCTCAGTTAATTAACTTGTAATTATGCTAAGAAATTTATAAATGAAGACCTTGGTTTTACCTATAGATGATAATTAATATAAGTTGAACAATCAGGTGGTTCTATATGAAAGGATCACTAAAGTTTATTAAATATAGTTATATATTTAACCCTTTAGCATTGAACATGCTCAAACCTACCCATGTAAATATTGGTTTTCAAAGTCTCACTGTTTGCTTGACTTCCTGCGTTATTTGTGATGATATTGTCATATATTATGGCAGAGTTGGGCAGGTTCAACATTGAGAGTCAAAGTGTTAAAGAACAGTTTATTTCAGTGACAACTTTATGACTGCTTAAATTATTGAAAATTGTCATAAATTAAAGAAAACAGATTTATTAAAAATGACATTTATTATAAGATTTACTTTTTCTTTTTTCTTTTCTTTCTTTTTTTTTTTTTTTTTTTTTTGTCACATTTGCCAAAATAGTACTGTGCAAATATTGCATGATTTTAAACTTATTAGTGGGTGATGAAAGGTGTTTGGCTTGATCAGGAAAGGAATGACCTAAAGTCCTGAATCACATGGAGTATTTCACTTATTCACCCAGCAAATTAACACATTGTTATCGAGTATTTTTTACCCTCCCCTCCCCCTTCAAAAAAAAAAAAAAAAACTGATGCTTCATCATTGAAATACTGATATGGGGAATGTAAGTTGGGCTGAGAACTTTTTCACACCCTTTATATATTCTGGACTTTGAGACTTTAGATCACTTTAAGTTTGTATATTTAAACCTTTTTTTAATTTTCTTTTTATACCCTTTTTAGTTTTTTTTTTTTTTTCTTACTCATCATTTGCAAGAGTAATGGGTTGTTAAATACGATGATAGATTTATATTCCAATTTTACGTGTACAAAGAAAAAACTTTAACAATTCTTACTTTCACTTTATATAAATCAAACAGGTTTCATCAGAAAGAATAAAATAAGGTTTGATTCCAAAGTATACAGTTGAGCAGAATAAAGTGAGCGAGTGGAAAGAAAATACCTTAATGAATTTTGTTTTTTTCTTTATTCATAAAACCAAGTTATTTCTTTAAAAGTGTTTTTATGAATTTCCATTTTGTTTTTATAATAAAATGTTTTTGTATAGCAATATTAACATTTAAAAATGAGTATCATCAAATGTACAAAATGAAGTTATATGGTTGATATTTAATGATTGAAATTAAAAAGTCTGTTGTTTCTACTTTCAGTATTCAACTTGGAGTCTCATATGGATAGGATGGAATGTTTTTGTGATTTGCTTATACTTGGAAATAGGAATATTAAACCGGGTAAGTTACTTCTATGCTAATGTAAAACTTGTTCATTATTTACATTGATGGAGGAAAGATTGTTTTTACTTGTAATCAAAATTCTTCCAATTTCATGCACAAATTAGCACAAAATCATACAGACGTCTCATTTTGGTATATTTGACATGTGTGAAATCTCACTTTATTGTGCTGTTGTTTTGTCGATGTTTATTATCATTGTTTACTAGATAAATTATTTGAAATTATTCTTTTATTGGAAAAGTTTTATAGTGTCAGAAATGTTATGTAGTTTATCATTTGATAAGATTTAAGAGAACTGTCTTATAGTAAGTATTTGACATCATTAGTTTCTGTTCTTTCTCATATGAAAGGAAATTTTGACACATTTACGAATATTGGTACTTAAAAATATTTAATATAAGATAAGGGCTGATCATAAAACTATTGAATATACATTTATTTGTATTTGATCTTTTTTCTTAAAATCAAATTTTATGTATTTTTTTTAAGATTGATTTATTTTTATTAAACATGAAGCTATATATTTTTTCAATATCACTCTACAAGGCCCAACAGGTACTCACTGTAGAGAGTTACAGAATAAAAGGCACAGTTTATGAGGATATGTCGGGGAAAATAATGGTTAATCCTAGACTTGAATAGGTTAAGATTGTAGTGACCGGGGAAGCATCCTCTTGGGAATCAGAAGTGGTTTGTACGAAGAAGCTGCCCAAGTGGAACTTTCACTCACTAATGAAATACAAAGGAAATGAGGGTAGTTTTTGTTATAAGGTCTATGGCATGGCTGTGAAGGTTAGAACTGGTGGAATTAAGGAATTTAGTTCATCTGAACACTTTCCATAGAAATAGTGATAGAGCAGCAAGTGACTTGCAAAATTTTATCTTTTGAAAAGGGGTTGTATTGTGAAAAATAATTCATCATCCACAAGGACATGGAGACACTTTTGAACTCTCTAGAGACTGGAAAGTGAAGACTGGGCAGCTCCTGTCCATATATGGCAGCAGTACTCTATTTTCAGCCTGATCTGGCTTGTGTAAAGGTAGAGGATAGTGGGAGTAGTTGGGTACTTACTTGGAGTGGTACAGTGAACTGACCATTTTTCCAGCATCTTTAACAATGGATCATGTGTACGTTCCATTTGAGGTCTGGGTTGAGTCCCAATAGGTGCTCAAGGTACAGGATCTCTCTGAGGGAACACCCTTTCATTGTGATAGAAGAAAATTCAGGGTCTGCTTGGTTGATGATACAAACATTGCTAGTTTGGTTTTTGAAGGATTGAATGTAACCAGCCAGTTTTTTTTCACCAAGTTGTTAGAACTAGGTCAGAAGAGAGATTAGGTGCCAGGCTCTGGTCATATAGAATTTTGGCTGTGGGCTAATATACCTTTGTATCATCAGCATAAATATTCACAAATGATCAGAGTATACTCTTAGGCAGATTGTTAATGTAGAGTTGGACTGAGAAACAAACTCTGGGGGAATGCCTGTGTTGATCACTTGGGCTTCAGTAGATTTTGCTGTTAACAATTACTTTCAGGGACCAACCTGTTAGGAAGGACTTGATAATTGATGCCACACCTTGTCAAGAACCTTCGAAATATCTAATGCAATTGTCCTTGAGTCATATTTATTGTCTCGTGCTTCATTCTGTTAGTAATGTCAGGATATAAGTAGTAGGGCAACTTGATTTTGCAACTGTGGCATTGTACTCAATCTGAAAGATGAGGTTTCACATGATAAATAAGGACTTAAATCATTACTGTTTTTTGAGGAAACAAACTTAAAGATTAAGTTTAGATTAAAAATCATAGCATTTGAATTTCAATCTGGTGATCAATGGAAGCCTTCTAGCTCAGCCTTATAAAATTTATAATTTACTGAAGCTTTACAAATTGTATATAGACAAGATGTATGGCACAAGCACATTATTATTATGCCATCAAATAAGACCTTCATTTATTTCAAAGGGGAATTAAAGTGAACAATTTAGCTATATTATGATGTAATATGTTATACAGTGCAGTAGTTTTAGTGTGATTTTTTTTTTTTTTTTTTTCAATAAAAAATGTAAATGTAAAACATTATTTTTGTCTAATAATTTGTGCCCAGCAGTATCATGGTGTTATATACACTCTTATCTATTCTTGGTTTTATTAATTACGAAGCCAAGCCATGATGATGAATTATGATCTAACAAATGTTATTCCTTTAGTAGCGTCTTTTTTTTTTTTTTTTTGTTGTAATCTTTTACAATTTTTTTACACTGTTTTTACTTATTGAGTACAGAAGAAGAAAAAAAAAGTAGCATATTTTGCTTATGGTGATTCATAATTAGAATTCTGGTTTGAATATATTTTCCATTCAGTGTATTTAGTACAAAAGATATCAACATTATTTGGATTTATTCTTGAAATAGCAAAAACCTGCAGAAATAGGAATTTCTGTACATTTTTTCCAGACGATCCTTTAAAGCTAAATGCTCAAACAATGGTAAAATCTATGAATCTAATTTTTGGTGTCAGTACTTATCACATCAAGCTTTCACACTGAGTGAAATGTTGATTTTCTAAAAAAGTGAAAAATTAACCTGTCCTAATCAGCAATGGGTAAGATCTGTATTGTACGTACATGGAAGTCCAACATCTGACTTTTTGTTTTTTGGTAGGGAATCATCTTTTAACTCATCAGTGTAGGTTAAATAAATTGAAATTTTGTATTTATCATTGGGCAAAATATTAGATACAGCAATCATCTTATGGTAACAAATGAATGCAACTTGTTTTCATACTATCCAGAAAAGAAAAAAAGTAAACCTGAAAAAATTTAAACTTTTTTTTTTTTTTTTTAATACATTCTGGTGAATAAAAAAAAAAAACTCTTTTTGAATAAATCCTTAGTTTAAGGTGACTCGAGTTGAAGAGCAATATAACACAGGCAAGTAGAGAATAGGATCTACTTACAATACCTCAGCTGTTCTGGTAGATAAACAGATCCTGTCAGGCAAGTTAGTTGCTTTTTATGTGTATATTACAACTGAATATTATGATAAAATTAGAAAGTAAGAATAAAGGAAGATGATGTAAAAGTCAATTTTTCACATATTTTCATTTTCTACTTTAATATGAATTAATATTTTGTCTTAGTTTGAAACTCTTTGTGTTCATTTGTTGCCATTTTTTTGTTTTAACATCTTGTTAAAACTAATGCATCATGGCAATAACAGTTGTAGAATGGTAGCAGTATAACTTTGTTATTTCAGAAATGGTTAAAAGATTACATTTGCAGCACACATTATATTTTGCAAAGCCTCCCCATGCTTTTCTATATTTTTTTTTTTTTTTACTCTTTCAATAACTCCAACCTGTTGTATTACTAAACATTCATTTTCTTTGTCTGGATTAAAAGAAAAATATCTATGTTGGGAGGTATTAGATTTGAAATAAAATCATTATCCCTTGTTTGCCACTCTGTTCAAATATCAATCAACTAGATATCTTTGTTTTTTTTTTTTTTTTTTTTTTTTTTTTTAACTAAGTGTCTGCAAAGTTATTCCTGATCTGTCATCTCGGCTTCAGTCACTTTCCCACTACTATAATGTAGCATCCCTGTGCCTTTTCTATAAATATTTTTATGATAATTGTTCTGGTTAGCTTTCTTCTTTGGTACCTCGACTTTACCAATTTAAGTGTAGTACTAGATTGGCACCTAGGTCTAATTTTATAGTTGAAATTGCTAGATATAACCATAAGTTTTGTGTTAAGTTTCTTACATTTCTCACTTGTGGAACTCTCTTCTGGATATTTGCTTTCCAGTCAATTTTGATCTTCAAAAATCTAAATACAATATTAATTGTTATCTTCTGTCTTAAATTCCTGTTCTTTTATTGTTCTCGCTCCTTAACAATATTTTTTGTACTTTTTTTTTTTTTTTTCATTCTTTCATACTCTGTAACTCCTAGCATCTTAGTAGCTTTATTGCCTTGCTTGGGGTGAAATGATTAAAAAATAAAAATACTACTTTCACCACCACAATGATAGTTCACTCTGCATACAGAGTTCATTGGCAATGTCAAATATCTGATGCAGCAATAACATTTTTTAAATTACAAATTGGTGCAGAATATTCTAACAAGCCTGTTTATATTATCTGTTGCCATAACAAATTTGGTGCTATAATTCTATTTGCACTATTTAAATTCAATGTAATAATAATAATATCAAATGTATCATGCAGTCATAAAATATTGATACAAAAACAAAACAAAAAAAAATTAAGTTCTAGGTTAAATAAGTATGTTTCCAGAGATGATTTTATATATACAGGATGCCCCACACAAAAAAAAAAAAACAGGAAATTTGATACAATTTTTTTAATTGTTAAATTTGTGGGGCAATCTGTAATTGACAAAAAGTTTGGTCTATTTTTGTCTTTGTCTTGGTGCATTTAATTTTACCTTACTTTATTCAAAAAGATATTTTCATTGGATTGTGACAGCTGTCATATCCTTACATGTTTTCTTTTGTTTTAAGAAATTGTTCAAAGTAGTGGATTTTTTTTATTGATTAAACAAGAAAATAAACCACATTTCCAGAACACGCTTTTTTATTTTAATAAAGCATTGAAAATTATTGCCACCATTTTTTGTTGCTTTGTGTGGAAAAAAATGAGTGGATTTTATTTCCAGGTGCAATTTGCTACTAAGATGTTATGTTCTCTTTTTGAGAACAAATTTTTATCACTGTTGATGAAAAGTGGATATTTTACAACAAAATGTGAAATGAAGCCTTACTAAACTATACAAAAGGCTGGTCTTTAACCAAACTAGGTGATACTTTGTATATGGTGAGCTTAGAAGAGTCCTCTTGCTACTGCACCCACTGAGACCAAGTCATTTCCAAAAAGCACCATGAAATAGTTAATAGAAACACTGTAATCCATTAGGATAATCAGGCCAAATGTTTCTTTGGTGATCAGATAAAAATCTTTACAGCTTGGT